CTGAAAGTAATTGCTGTTTTTTGAATTCTCTGATATTTGTATACAGATTATCTTGACTGTATCTTCCCTACTTGTCTAAGCACCTTAAGGGAAGAAGGTAGGGCTTTATATTAATTGTAACTCTCACTGTGTTTTTATACCTTGGATATAGTAGATGCAGAGTAAACATCTTATTAATGAAAAATGAATGATAAATGAATGAATTAATCAACCAATCGGTTAAATAATCAATAGCCTTCCTTCCTTGCAGTCAGGCTGGCTGAGTCACATCAAGCTGCTAAGATTGCTTAGTCTCACAGCCTCAGTGAGCAGCTATGGGGAAGAGGATTCCTAATATATTTGCGGATTATTTGAATGATGTCAGAAATAGCTTCTTGTTGAACTTATGGATTCGAGGAAACAATATTGGTTTAAATATCACAGGGGCACCCCCTACTCATGCATAAACAGAGCAAAAACATCTAGTGTGAGTTGTAGCTGGTTTCCCTGGGGATGACATTCAAGGCTTGATTCCTAAATGGCCCCATGATAGGGTAAAAAGGGTATCTGGTGGTCTGATGCTGATAATCAATTTACCAAAACCTGCCCATAGAATGTCATCTGCCTCCAGAAAATCTTTCACATAAGTTATGGACACTGCACTAAAGGATGGAAAACTGGGACTTCAGCACTGGTCCGTATTTGGAACATCTGTCTTCTTGCTGTTTGTTTAATAAATGTCTTGTGTGTCTGAGACTTGCCTTCAGTAAGACCAGTTAGAAAGAGCTGGTAGAATAGTAGCTAGCCATCATGTGCCTCCGACAACTGGTGACTATCACCTACAAACAAGAACCTAGTAGTTGGACATAACAAACTGCAAACATGTGTACAAGGTGCTGATGTGTAACATTCTGTTATGCACAGTAAAGAAGAAAATCTGTATTAAACCAATGGACAAGAGTGGAGTGTAAGAAGGGCTTTTCTGCTTTTGCTGATGGACACATGGAACCCATGAAACCATTTTGTTCCCTTCATTAGTGAAAAGCAACTAGGAGCCAAGCTGTGCATTAGTTCAGGATGACCAGTCGGCTTTAGCAACTTGGCAACAAACCCACGTCTGGTGGTTGAAGAGCTAGTCAGCAGTGTCAGGAGGCGAGTGAGACATCATTTCCACAAATAAATAATGTCAAGCTGCTTTATATAATTCCTGTCATGTGCAGACAAAAGTTAAAACAAGAAATGAGATCTCCATTCTTATGCAAACATGCTGTGATCATTTCTCCTGAGCTCAAACTATAGTTCCAGCAGACTTTTTTCAGAATGGATGCAAGAGCAAAGGACATGCCAAAAGGTACATGTGGAGAGAAGAATCTAAGAAAATTCCATAAATGGCTTCTAAGCAATGAATATGCTCAATGGGAACCACCTGTTGTGGACTGATATCAGTAGGAGACAGTATCTATCTCTGTGAAAAGGCATTTTCTAAGGTGAAACATAAAATCTTATTACAAAGAATCTTATTACATATCAGCCTTAAAAATTTGCAGTCCATGTTGGTGATGGGAACACTAAATTTGACCCCCAATTAAATGAAATGGCATTCATTCCCCCCAAATTATTATATTCTTATTAGCAAAACCACGTAACAAAAATAGTATTGAATTTTGAGATCCATCAATAAAAATGTTTTAAAAATGTATTTTCTCATTATGTAACCATCCACATAAGTAGCAGCATACTTCATTTTGGCATAAACCTACAATATTTATGGTCTTACCTATTACGGAAAAATTGTGCTGACCCCTGATATAGATAATATTAAAAAAATAAAGATCTGTTGATACCAATATGGAAATATATCTGATATATTAAGTTAAAAAAGCAAAATTTAAAGGTAATAGGATATTCCATATAGGCAAAAAATTCCCTTAAATACACACGAAGCTGTCTGGAAGGAAACATGAAACTGTTAACAGTGATTGTTTGGAGCAGGCATTCCAACTTACTATTTGTTCTCCATAAATTACATCTAAAACATAAACCAGATTTTTACTCCCTTGTTCAAAATCTCCAATGACTTCTTATTACACTTAAAAACAAAACAACTCCCCGTTGTGTCAGGGACTGAAGGCCCTAATGGTCTGGCTTCTGCCCCTCTCACCTACTTTCCGACCTGTCTTCCTTCAGTTCAGGGAGTTGTGGCTGCACTGGCCGCCCTGTCCTTATGCATTTGTCTACCTCCGGGAATTTGTACCTGCCGTTGCCTCAGGGTGACACATAGTTTCCACAGACAGTCACAGGCTCTCCCTCTGCCTCCCTAGGCCTGTGAGCTGATGTCACCTCCTCAGGGAAGCCTTCTCCGGCCACCTTATCAATCCAACACACTGTTATTCCTTTTTATCACCAACAGCTCACAAGCTGACATCATGCGATACATTCATTTACTGTTTTCCTCCATAAGAGGCGCACGCTGCTTCATTCTCTCGTCTCCCCACAAACTTGAATAGTGCCTGCGATATAACAGGTGCACGACTGACTAAAACAAGTGCACAACTAACTTAAATAGGTATTTGAGTTTGTTATTAAGTGAGCTAAGGAAAGGAAGGGAGGAGCATAATGGGAAAATTGTAGTCTTTTTAGCAAGCTTTGTTTCAATAGGAATGCATTTGTGTACTGTTTATAAAATTAGAGAAAAAATATAAAAGAGAAAAAAAGGTGTAATTTTAAAGATTATTACACAAAACATAATTAAATTTCTTCCTCAGTTACCATTCTATTTGTGATTACTACTGAATCTCTTTGTAACTTGTTCTTCAAAGCTTTGTTACATTCTTAGATATCAAAAACAACCACAAGTAAAAATGAACTGAAAACAGAAATTGAGGAACACACTTTTATTTCAACACGAAAGATTTGAAGAAGCAGAGTTTGAGGTACAGATGCCTTTACCACTCCACAATTTCAGCAGGTATGAAATTTGTATACATGCATGACTTTTACATTGAAAGCTTTACGGTTTCATCCAAGGTAGATTCCCAAAGCGAGTTGGTTTGCCTGGGTCCCAGTGGGTTGCCAGTGGACAATTCAAAATATCAACGAGTCTTGTAAAAGAAAGAGGTTGGATTTAGGATAAACAACATGTAAGTCTCTTCCTGTGCTAGAACCCAGTGATTTTCCATCTCTTTGTATGACATAAAGTAGGCAGCCCTTACGTTAGGGTATACAGAATGTTTCCATGAGTCAAACTGAGTCACACCAGGGCCCTATCTGTACACTGCATGACAGCCTGCACCACTCAAGTGTCAAAATCTCAAAATTTCAAAGAAGGCCCTGTTGGTCAACCGATGCCTACTTCTCATCTGCTTCTACTTACCCCAAACCCTCGGAGGCTGTGGACACTGGGCTCTGCATTCTAGAAAATAAGATATACCTGCTTCCAAGGACTATTACATTCCTGACAACACTGAGATTTTTGGCTGTGCCATACTGGTTGAAACTAGCTTTTTTCCACTTAATTTACATCTGCATGCCACTAAGTATGATTCAAAAGCTTACAGATACAAAAGATAAACACTGGGAAGAACGAGAATACAAACCTCAAGAACAGGATAGTCTCAACTACCAAAACAATTCTATACATCTACTGTTTTATATTAACTTTAGAATCAACATCATTTTAAAATAAGTATTCTGAAAACACATTATAAGCTGAATGAAAACTAACACGTTCAGAAAGCTAAGATATAAACAGCAGGTCAAAATATACACAATTATTTTAATTCCCTTTGTAAGACATTTTGGGGAATTTATACTCAAGGAAAAGAATACATTTGTGATTATCTCAACTGTGACTTCTCCGATAGAAAAAGGTAGTCAAAACCAGTTGAGGAATAAAGAAATGATGAAGAACCATTTTGGTCTTATTCATATTCTAACCAAATCTTTAGGTAAAGATGGTCAAAGTTTCCTCAATGTTTTTTTTTTGGGGGGGGGGTTGGAGTCTCACTCTGTCACCCAGACTGGAGTGCAGTGGCTGCCTCGACATGCTGGGCTCTGGCAATCCTTCCGCCTCAGCCTTCCAAGCACCTGGAACTTCAGGCGCGCACTACCATACCCGGCTAATTTTTTGATTTATTGTAGAGATGAGGGCCCGCTAAGTTGCCCAGGTGGGTCTCGAACCCGCGGGCTCAGACAATCCACTCACCTCGGCCTCCCAAAGCGCTGAGATTACAGGCTGAGCCACCAAGCCTGGCTGGTTTCCTCAATTTTGATTACTGGAACCTATTTATGCTTATAATCACAAGTGCAAAATGTGTTGTTGCTACTTTTGCCACAATCACAACAATTATATAATTATTATGCCATTACTGCATAATTTATCATTATATTTACAATTAAATTACAAATAGGAAATCAGTTGAAACGATGTGCTTAAAGCAAAGTAAGTCAAAGTCAAACAAGACCTGTTACAAATGAACTTCTTACCTAAGCAAAAGTATTTAGACAAGTAAAAATATTTTATCGTTAACATTGCTCAGTTTTTTAAGAAACAGGTGTTGAATAACATATTCCTAAATGTACTTTTTCATACTTTCTCTCTTGATAGCATCAATATTTTATGCTACCTGAAATTTTCTTTCTGAAATAAACAGTCTCACTATTAAGAACCCAGATTGCTAAAAATCCTTCATTAATATGCTTCTTTACACAATAAGCATGTACTGGAGACTATAATGAAACAAGGAAAAGGAGCCAGTTACTCATACTAGGTATTACTTATTCTTTTGATCTGTAAGAAGGAAAAGGCTTGGAGAAATGTATGCATAACAACAGATTTGACCAAGAAGCCTAGAAATTCCATAGGGTGGCAAGTCATCTATTCCTAAAGAATTTGTCACTGGAAAACATCACACACACACACTTCTTTAAATAGAAAAGCAGCAATAATTTAAATAAAAAGTGATAAATTTAAAATATGGACGCACTAATACATATTTATTTAACAAAGATACTTGAAAAAGGAAATTCACATACTTTCACTATTTCCTCTAGATCAATCTTCCTTTTCTTCTGTAGATATCTCCACATTATTATCATCTACAAAATTGAGTTTGTAATCACTTTGTGCTTCACTTTCAGAGGAGCTTGACATTTTGGAAACGGTACTTTACTTCTGTGTGCTTTTTACACCAGTCAATTATTTCATTTCTTCACTGCTTCCTTTCAAAGGCGTTAAATCACCAGGTGTTTGGGTTTTTTGGATGAGCAAAGTCCTCAGGGGTATGAGAAAAGCTGTTTGGATCTGCGCATGCATCTGCTCCCTGCTGAGGGCCAGCCTGTCCACAACACCCCAGAGCTGCTGTAGCAGCAGATGTTTCCGTCAAGTCATGAGATGCCAAGTGGTACTGCCTTCATCATTTGCAGTTTTCTGAGCACTGGACCTAGTTTTGGCTATCAGCTGAGTAATCTGGGTATTTTCCAATGCCAGAAAAGTCAGATAGTTCAAATGTGCTTGTTCTCTCCTTCTTAGAAAGACTTCTGTTGTTGAGCACAGCAAGGCATGATGACGGCTGAAGTTTAGAAGGAAGAGCCTCTGCATTCCTTTCCTTAATATTAGCAGGTGAAAAATAATCATCATATGAGGAGTCCTTACAATCAGGAGTCTTCATAGCATATCCAGATGTGAACTTCACGTTGTCTTCTGACTTAAACAGCTGTAACCTTGGCATGTTCGAGCGCCTGCTGTAACTCTTTTTCTTTACCTTTTCTTTTGGAGGAGAATGTAAGTTGTCTAGTGGTGTTCTTCTCTTTACTGAGGACCCCATGGGTCTTGAATGCATCAACAGGGGGCTTTTTGTTGAAGATAATGTAGGAGACAAACTATATTTCTCATCAAACATCTCCTTAGACATACCTTCCAGTTCCTTTTTGTCAGGGGTGAATACTTCACTTACAGTATCTCCTTGCCAATCTATTTCTTCTGTTGAAAGATTACTCATGGATTTCTGAGGACTTAATACACTGAGGTAACTGGACGATGCTGATGAAGGAATACTATTTGCTTTAGATACAGTTGAAGAAACACTTTCATTAATGGATCCTCCCAATTTCCTTTCCGGATTTCCATGTCCTGAATTTCCACAAAGATCATCAAAAGATGAGTATAAATCACCACCAAAGGATTCATCTGAAAAATATGAATAAAGAACTAACTTTTAAAAAATGGTTTAAATTCTTATATATTTCATTTTCAGTTGACTAATAAAATAATAATTTTTAAGCACAAATTTTTCCTTTTTTTGAGAAAGCAGGCTTTATTGAGAGGACAGAAAAGCTCCTGCAGTGGGAGGGGACCCAAAGGGGTTGCCCTAAGCATAGTTATTAGTTAAGAAGAGATTGACCCTATTTTGTTCATCTCATTTCCATTTAAGCATACCTTTTAGGGCAGTTTTTTAAACTAGGGAACCTGGGCTCTAATGAGTGCATGGAATGGGGTGGGGATGAAGGAGAGGGGTAGGAAACTTCTAAATATTTTACAGACGTTTCCATCTGTGTGTGCACATTTTTCCTGGAAAAGCATCCATAGCTTGTCACTAAATTCTCCAGGTGGTCCATACTCTTAAGCCTAACAACTATTGCTTTAAGGTCTAGGTCAAGTTCTAGTCTTCCACAAAACATTCCCCCAATGGATACAGCTCACCTTTACCTTCCCGTTTTGTGAAGGCCTTGTATTATATTTATATTCAAAAGTGAACCTTCTGGTAGACCTTATTGCTTTGACTTCCCATACAGCTTTTACATTCCTTGAGAGTAATGCTAAGCTGTTACCTGTCTCCAAAATTCTACACTCTTTCATGCCTCTGGCCTTATCTTTCCCCCACACTTTACTCTGGATAAATATGATTCATCCTTCAAAACCTACCTGGTTGTCAACATCCCTGTGACCCTCTGACACCCCTGGCCAGGTCTAGCTGGCAGTGAGCATTATGTGCACTCTGGTGATGTGTGTGTCTCCCTCCCTCACTATACTATCAGCTATTGGAGGAAAGATATTACTTTCTGTTCATTTTCTTTATTTACTTATTTATTATCAGAAAGCATGCAGTTTTTGAATTTCCTTAAAATAAAAAGCTAGGAAATTAAATGCCTGCTAATGAAATGTTACATTTCTTAGTTTTCCGCCACTCAGTTTTTTTCTTTTATTATTTATTTTAAAGATGTGTGGTATAATTCAGAGTTAGGTACATAAATTGTCATTGTTCAGGTAATGTGTGGGTATCCTTATTGATTATAAGCTCCCCTCTCCCCTGACAGTTTCCCACTACTGCCAATCCCTTTCTTATAGTATTATAATAATGTTCACGGTCCACATATGAGTGAGTACATATAGTACTCAGATCTTTGTTTCTGTGATAAATCATTGAGTACTCTTTTTTTTTAAAGTAGAACTTTAGTGATTCCAGTCAGAAAGTCACAACACGTTATGTTGCCTCCAGATTGTGTGGTTTCTTTACAATGGAGGCCCTCTACCAGCAAGCACTGAGCCCCTACTGTGGGAGCCAGCACTGGGCTAGAGGCCTCATATTTTTAAATGAACAGATACTCTTAGGGATTGAATGTCTACAAAGGATTTTAACTCTCCAAGAGTATCTGTTCATTTAAAGATATGAGGTCTCTAGTCCGGTACTGGCTCCCCTAGTAGGGACTCAGTGCTTGCTGGTAGAGGGCCTCCATCGTATAGAAATTACACAATCTGGAGTCAACATAAGTGTTGTGACTTTCTGACTGAAATCACTAAAGTTCTACTTTTAAAAAAGAAGAACACAGGTAATAACCGAGCCCTTCCCTCACTGCTGTGCTCCAGAAAGGGGTCGGGCAATTGGTAGGTAGTGCCGTGCCTGTGCCAAGTCAGAGCCTTGTGTGTCTTCAGGGCAGTATTTGAAAATATAGGTCAATTTCCACTTTAGCAGCTGAATGTTTATCACACTTTTCAAAAAGCCAATAAGCAGTGTGACATGTCATTAAGAGTGTAAATTGTGAAGTCAGACTGCCTAAGTTAGAAGCCTGGGTTTGCCAATCACAAAGTGCAGGCCTTGTACAAGCTGTTTGACTTCTGTGTCCTGGTTTTTTCACTGGCAAAATGGGAATGGTGATGGAACCTATCTCATACAACTAATGGGCGAATAAGATAAGATGTCTACAACACAGCAAATATGAAATCAGTGTTAGCTATTATTAACACTTGTTTCCAACTCATAAGAAATAAGTGTGTCAAGTATAAAATAAAAAGATGGAGATTATTTGAGATAAATGGGTAAATAATTCCAACACACACAGATGACACTGCAAGAATAAACAATGAAAGGAAGCTTTAGTTTAAACTCTTAATATCTTGGTGCTGTTTTGTGTGCTGTCACTATTGTGTCTTTCATAATAAGATATTCCATATCATTTCTAGCATTTTTAAATACAGGTCTTTTAGGGGTTACTGCCATTAATCTGGGCCCCATTGTGGGCTGGGTGAGAAAATTATTTAAAAAATGGATATAACCAAAGGAAAGATATAACCATTAAAAATCACCATCCCAAGTCAAATAAGGGTTCCCACATTTAAAAAATGTATGTGTATAACGTACAACCAATTTTATTAATTATTACCAATGAGCTTTCTGTTTCTCATTAGAAATGCCCTGTCTCCTAAATTTATTGATTATCTTCATATACTTCACTGTTCCTGTTCAATAACACATTTCACATATTCATTATACACCATGGGAAACAATTCTTTCTTAGTTTTGACTGTTCTCAGTTCTATATGGTTTAAACTGCGTATAGATTAGTCCATACTAGATCACAATAATTTTTTTTAAATGAGCAATCGTTTTGTAGCAAGAAGGCAAATGCCTAGGAGAAAACCCACAGGAATCAAAAAGGAAGATAAACTCACGTCTTAATTTTATTATAAAATCTACTTTCAGAAGGAAATTTATGAGTTCTAGTTTTAACTTAATTACTCTACTCATCAGAAATGGTCACATGAAATACTACAATAAGAAAATCATACTATCCTCAAAGTTTAACTATATCACAGCAAACAAAATAATTTTACCTGAATACAAAGTATCATGTGAAATGTTCAAAGATGCCTCACACAGAGAGCTACTTGGATTATCATGAGACTGTTCAATCTTTTGGGAAGCTGAAAACAAAATTAAAACATTTCATTAGGTAAAATTTCAATATTTTTTAGCAGACAAAGCCAACAGTAGTCCACCTATTAATTGTAGGTGATTCTATTACATTTATAGAATCAAAAAGAAGGGATCTTCCAAAGTCAATTTGCCTAAATCTAATCAGAAACTCAACAAAGCTAAATGAGTATTTTGTCTATTTTAGTATTCCTGCTTGATAATCATGGCATTTTTTTCAAAAATGCTCATAATAGTTACCTCTATAACTACAGTAATGGCTCTCAACCAGGGGTGATTTGGGATCCTAGCAGATAAGTGGTAATGTCTGCAGACACTTTTGGATATAGCAAGTGAGAGAGGGAGGGTGAGGAGTGTTACTGGTGTTAGTGCAGAAAGGCAGAGATGCAGATGAACACCTAACTATGCACAGGACATACCCACAACAAAGATTATCCAGCCCAAAATGTCACTGGTGCCGGTTTGACAAATCCTAGAGGTTTCAGTGAAAACATTTAGGATGTCAAAGATTTAACACATAAGGCCAAGGCTGGGCATGGTGACTCACGCCTGTAATCCCAGCACTTTGGGAGGCTGAGGCGAGAGGATTGCTTGAACCCAGGAGTCTGATACCTGCCTAAGCAACATAGTGAGACATCATCACTAAAAAATTAATTAAAAAATTTGCCGGGCATGGTGGCACACGTTTGTAGTACCAGCTGCTGGGGAAGCTGAGACAAAAGGATCACCTAAGCCCAGGAAGTTGAAGCTGCATTGAGCTGTGATCCTGCCATTGCATACCAGCTTGAGTAACAGAGACCCCCAACTCAAAAAATAAATAAATAAGGTCATAAACATTCTCTTTAAGCCAGCTGTGATGGCTCATACCTGTAATCCCAGCATTACTGGAGGCCAAGGTAGAAGGATTGCTTGAGCTTGGGAGTTTGAGACTAGCCTGGGCAACATAGCGAGACCTCATTGCTTCAAAAAAATAATAAAAATAAATAAACATTCTCTTCAAACGTTGTACACACAACAGACAAGAAACATACAACATGTCTGGGACGTATAACCAAAGATTTTTTAAGGAGATTGAAAATGATACTTTTTTGTGAAGATTTGAGCAAATCATTGTAAAAAGAGAAGAAACCAAAATATGAAAGGTAAACAGAGAGATAAAATTTTCAGTTGTCGAGTGTTAAACTGTATTGGATGCAGTGAAACAGTAGAATTAACACTTCAAAGTAATGGAAAAAATAAAGTTTAAGGCACATTCGTTTATATACAAAATTATATGCTGACACAATTTAGATGTCCATCTGGAACAGGGCTAGCTATCTACCTCAATATCCATTCTCACTTCCTCTCAACAAAAGAACTCTGATTTTATTAGTACAACAATGCAGCCTTATAAAGACTATATTTCAATCTTTCTTGCAACCAGGGGTGGCTATATACAACCACGTCCCAGCAAAGGGAGTTAGGCAAGAATACTGGATGGGATATCTGCTAAGGCTTTTAAAGGGAGCTGGCTCAGCTGGGAGGTACATACATCTTGGAAGAAAAGCCCAGCATCAAGGAAGGAAAAACAGAAAGATGCGAACCTAGCTTCTTAAAGACACCATGGAATGCCACTCTAGCCCTGACTGCCGACTTCTGTTTCTTTGTCATATGCGGCCACACTAACCTTAACTGATATAGGTGACTCTTTTATATTATATACAAATTTAAATTCAAGATAAATCAAATATCTAATCTTTAAAAAAAAATCTCTTACAGGCCAGGTGTGTGGTGGCTTATGCCTGTAATCCCAACACATTGGTAGGCTGAGGCAGCAGGATCACTTGAGCCTAGGAGCTTGAGACCAGCCTGGGCAACACAGCGAGACCTCATCGCAACAAAAAAAATTTAAAAGTTAGTCAGGTGTGGTGACATGTATCTGTAGTCCCAGCTACTTGGGAGGCTGATGTGGAAGAGTCACCTAAACCCAGGAAGTTGCGGCTGCGGTAAGCTGTGGTCATACCACTGCACTCCAGCCTGGGTGATAGAGTGAGACACCAACATACACACACACACACACACACACACACACAAATAGCTCTTATAAGTCATGAAGAAAAACATGACAGATGGACAAAGGACATAAAATTCAGAAAAGTAATAGTCAATAACATTAAATTTATAGTCAGTAATATGAAAAGACATTCAACCTCACTAATAATCAAAAGCAAATTAAACAAAGAAGTCTGGTTTCTCAATCATCAGATTGAAAAAGACTTAAAGGCTAGTACCATCCAGTCTTCCAAATATGAGGAAATTAGCATTCTTATACACAAATGGTAAAGGGCAAAATGATCCAAAGTTTTTGAGGGATAATCAGATTACATCTAGCAAAAAGTTGGGCATGGTGATGCACACCTGTAGTCCTAGCTACATGGGAAGCTGAGGCAGGAAGATGGCTTGAGCCCAAGTGTTCAAGTCCTGCCTAGCAAGATCCTGTATCTAAAAAATAAATAAATAAAAATTGCATTTGTGAATTAATATTATTGAAATACATGAAATGCCCAAAAATATAAGGATTTATGTAAATGCACATAGTAAAAAGTGGGGGAAGCCAGAAAGCCCTATGCTCATAAAAAGGAAAATGGTTTATAAAAAGTAAGAACAACCAAACTAAGTGGTTAAAAAAAGAATAAAAACATCACTATTTTTAATAAAGAAAAACTGAGAAAAAATATCTGCCAACAAATGATTCAATATCAAAATTGTAGAATATTTTGCAGCATTGTAAAAAAAAAAAAAAGAGGTCAATACATGTCTACTGAGCTGGAAAAAGCCTCCTGGATGATCTTAAGTAAAAAATAAAGTTGAAAATAATACATATGCCTTAATCCAATTTAGGTCAAAGAAACTGCACTTCCACATAGAAACCAAATCTGTAGATATGTGACATGCTGAAAAAGATTTGGAAAAACACATCAATTTAAACCAAAGTTTACTTCCAGGTAGAGGAGTAGAATTAGGTGAGAATAAAGTTGAGTTTTTAATATTAGCTACTTGGTTAAATGTTTTATTAAAATGTGCTCAATTACTCAAGCAACTTAAAATTTTAAACATAAAAGAAATAAAGAAAAACAAACTGATCAATTAGGTATATTAAAGCAAATTCCTTCAAAAGAGAGACACAATTTAGAAAAATAAAGAATAATTCCAAGGATATTAGAAATTACAAAGGAGATACAACAAATAGGATTTTAAACCTAAAAAATACTATATGCACAACATATGCTTGGAAAACCTTAACAATGCTTAAGATTTCCTGGAAAAATATGAACAAAGTCTGCCCTGAAATAGGTCAAAATTCGTTAGAATCAGGAAACATTAACTAAAATATCGAGGTAGAGAAAATAAAACTTGCCACCATAATTGATTTACTTATTTACATAATTTTCATTTTAAAAACTGTAATCACTTACAAGTAGGAGAAAGATCTTCCCGGTTCTCTTCCAACTCTTGCAATCTCATCTCTATCGTATTGTCGTGACTATCATCCACTTCACTTGTGGGACTATACACCAATGAACCATCAGGTTCAAATAAGAGAATAGGTGCATAATTTTCTAAAAATAAACAAAAAATCAACTTTGAGGTCAAAAAATGCCTTTGTACTTCAACAATCTGATTCCTTATAAGAAAGGCCCATGCTCACCCCCACAGTTTTCCTCTTCCTGTTCAACATCACTACCTCTTCCTGCTCATATTCTACTACTGCTGCCACCTCCCTGACCCATGATGCTACCACTACAGCTACTGGCTAACACCAGCTGAGCAGTTACCTGTCGCCAGGCTTTGTGCTAAGCACAATACATGCATTATTTCATCTAACCATCCCCCAAACACAAAACACAATGCATTAGATAACAGTATCCCCATCAAAGACAAAGAAATTGAGACACAGAAGTTAAATAACTTACCCAGAATCATTGAACTAGTGAAGCTATAAAACTAGAATGCGATTTCAATTTACAGTTCCTTAGGTTTCAGTTTACAGTTCCTTAGGTTTTTTTACCCCAGGTTTCAGAAACTGCCCTCATTAACCACTGTTCCCACCCTCAACAAACACTTGCAGATTCACACATGAACTTGAATGCCACTGGTCATCAGGCAAATTCAACAGAATGTATGAACACAATTGCAAAGGATCATATTATATTTCTTGACTTACTTAGACTTGCTTTTTGCCTTTGTAGTTCTCTGGCCATTTTCTCAAATTTCCTCTGACATCTTTTATCATTTTCTGGTGTTCTAAAAACAAAATCTTTGGGCTGCATACACTTACGCTGTGCAAAAAGGACACAGAAATGAATAATGCATTGTAATTGCTTAGGACAGAAAAAAAGCCCTTTCACATTTCACAGACATTTCTTATACCTTCTATAACATTAATGCTAAAAACTTAAAGAGGTATTTCTTGGGTTATATGTTAGCAATATTTATTTCTTTCTATGCAATTATAAAAAATGAACACATTTAAAAGACTGAATAAAGTGCTCTATATTATGTTTTCTGAGACATTTTCATGATCCCAGTATACTTAGTTTCCATGAAGGTTCTTAGCCAAACTAGTATTTTTCCATTTTTTGCTACTGTGACCACAAAACCAGTCCTATCTGGTTCAACTTCATGTAACAAAATGGTGAGTTGTTTTTCAATTGCCATGGACCTCCAGGTTACAAGTTGTGTTGCCTGAACACACCAAAATAAACCAAGAATGCAACAACGGGTGGAATCTAAGTACTTGAACCAAGGAACAGGGACCAAATAAGTGGACATCACATGGCATAATCCATGATCCAATCAGATGGAGGCCTGGCATCACCAGTCAGAATACACCTACTCACAGAGTCAATCAGATCATGCCTCATCTTCCTCTGCCTATAAAATCTTCCCTAGTCCCTGTCTTGAGAAGATAGATTTGAGCATTCCCTCCTGTCCCTTGTCAGTCAATTCGCAACAAAGCCTTTCTTTTCTCAAAAACCAGTGCCATGGTGTTGGCATCTACATGCATTGGGAAGCAAGCCCACAGCCAGCTGTGTAATGCTGTTCTCATATCCTTCCCCCCCCAACAAATCATGACATAGTAATAAAACACAAAAACAATTACTATGTTATAATGACCAAATAATAGAACCATTATCTAATCTTGTCTGTAAATCACAACAACTCCACTAAGCCAGTGAAACCAAAAAAATAACTACACATACAAACACATAGAACCTCAGGCTAATTTCCACAGGAAAGTCCTGGGTTAACTCTCTAGTCTTAGCATCTTCAGAGAGGGGGAAATGTCTCCTTTAAAACAGACCTCACATTCCCAGCTTTACCACTTCCTCTTCTTCACAACTACCCATTTACTTCCCATCTGTAGGTTAGCCATCACTACAAAATATAAAAACTGGACTTAGCCGGGCTTGGTGGCTCAGCCTGTAATCTCGCGCCTTTGGGAGGCTGAGGTGAGTGGATTGCCTGAGCCCGCGGGTTCGAGACCCGCCCGGGCAGCGAGACCTCATCTCTACAATAAATCAAAAAATCAGCCGGGCGTGGTAGCACATCCCTGTAATTCCGGCTACTTGGAAGGCTGAGGCGGAAGGATCGCCGGAGCACAGCAGGTCGAGGTTGCAGTGGCCGGGAACATAATAAATAAGTAAATTATATCATATGTGATAGCAACTGAACTTTATCTTACTGCCCCCATCATTGCAGCGTGTTAAGAAGTGGGACTCACACAACTGGCACAGGTAGGAAGGAACCACTGGTGCGAACAGGCGTGTCAGCGTGGGTCTCAAGGAGAAAGTAACATCTGCACAAAGCCATGGGGAGGTCTGAAAACAAGTCATGACGATGGATTGGCGGGGGGAGCATGTTCTAGCCAGAGGGAACAGCTAACGCTATGGCTCTATGACAGAAACACACTTGGAGTGTTTGAGGAGCACAAGCAGGCCGGTGGGCTGGCAGCACACAGGTGATGGGGAGAGAAGCAAGGAACCAGCTCAAGAACCCAAAATAAGACCCGGAATCATGTTCAGTTTGCAAGTGCATTCGGGAAAAGAGAGCCAAGGGAAGGTTTTTAGATGCAAGGAAAATTTAAAGTGGCAAAGTATATAAGCAGCCATTATTTATACTTCAGATTAGGAAAAATTTAAAAGATTTCATAATTCATATTAGGACATTGGAATTCGGATTTCCTAATTCATATTAGGAAATTAGAATAATTCAGATTAGGAAAAATTAAAAAGTTTTAATAATATCCAGCTCAAAGCGTTAAGAAATAGGTAGGCTTACACACTATTGAAAGAACTGTTAAAATAAAAATGTGCATGTATTCTAAGCAATTTCATTTCTAGATATCCAACTTGGAGAAATAAATTCAAATATGTTTCACAAGTAATGTACATAGCAAAAACTGTCAATTATCCAAAAGTACAGGAAAGACAAATTCAGCTAACATGAAATGATCAAAACCACACTGCTAGGTATGGAAGAAAAAGCAACCCATGAAATAATACATGTATGGTGGCAGTGCCTCCTTCCTGTAAAGCATGTATTTATGTGACCCTTCACATGTGGGTGTGACACGTACCAAATATATCACTTCCAGAAGGATACCTGCCAAATTGAAAACTCCCCTTTTTGAGGGAAAAGCAATAGCGATGCTAACTTTATCTGTGTTTAATAAGTGCTTTACAATGAAAATAAGCATGTTACTGATGTGTTTTACAATGAATACTTTATTTTAGCATGTCACAGACACTTAAGAGCCTCAGCTGAACCTTCTCACCTATAACCAGATGAGAAGGTCTGAAGGGGACTGAAGGAAGCTCATCCACACTGCACTGCCAAACTCTGGCTTGTCTGAGAGGAAGTAATGGAGATATAGCATTTACTATTTTCAGAAAACATGTAGACATCCGCAGCTCTTTTTCCTTTAATCTACAGGAAATGTGCAGTTCTCCCGTAATTCAGTTTGGAGGAAGTCATGAAATCCTCTCTCTAACAGAGACTCTCATGTAAAAACCAAGTGACTTTGATGTTTCATAGTAAGCTCCCTCAAATAAAGAAACCACAATTAAAACTTTTTTTTTTTTGAGTTGGAGTCTCACTTTGTCACCCTGACTGGATGGAGTGCAGTGGTCGCTCCCGGCCACCGCAGCCTCGACCTGCTGGCCTCCGGTGATCCTTCCGCCTCAGCCTTCCAAGTAGCTGGAACTACAGGCGTGCGCTACCACGCCCGGCTCATTTTTGATTTATTGTAGAGATGAGGTCTCGCCAAGTTGCCCAGGTGGGTCTCGAACCCGCGGGCTCAGGCAATCCACTCACCTCAGTCGCCCAAAGGCGCAGGATTACAGGCTGAGCCACAAAGCCCGGCTATTAAAACTTTTAAATACATAGAAAACATAAAAGGTTGTATTCAAATGTGAATTAGACCTCAAATGAAGCTGTGTTTGTAACTCTACCATGGGTCCTCCATACCCACGAGTTCTGGATCTGTGGGTTCAAGCAACCGCAATTGAAAATATTCAAAAGAAAAAAAATAACAACACAATGCAAAAACACAGTAAAAACCAATACAGTATAACAACTATTTACACAGCATTTACACTGTGTTATTAGATGCTATGAGTAATCTAGAGATGATTTAAATTATATGAGAGACTGTGTGTGGGTTATGTGTAAATGCTATCACCTTATACAAGAGACCTGACCATCTGTAAATGTTGGTATCTACAGGGTGATCCTGGAACCAATCCCCTGAGGATACTGAGGGATGACTATATTTGTAAAGCAGATTTTCTGTTAAAACATGCCTTTGCACACTTGGATATATCTGCTTCAGACTCAAATGAAAGCAGTGTCTGCAATTGAGATTTTCTGACTAAATAGAATGAAGGCATTTTACTACAGATATAACAAACTGATTTGGAAGTCATTACCAAAGCACCTAAAATGTTTTATGGTCTCTCGGCAACTTTTAGTTTTCCTGTGGCTAACCACACTTTCTTTTATTTCTTATAAATTCCATCCAAGCATTCATAGGATAAAATAATCTCCATAAATCGCTAAAACATGCTATATGAAAAGAACATCATCAGTAGCACACTTAAGACAACTTGAATATATTTCTAAAAGTTTTATTTTCTAGAAATAAAAAAAAGAATGAATAAATTCATAGTTGTCACTGCCTACAGTGAAATAATTTACTTACTCTTTTTTTAATTAGGTTTGGTAACTGTTCATTAGTATTAGTTGCAGGGAATAATGATTCATCAATATGTACTCCAGCTGTCTTGCACCTGTATGATTACAATAGAGTAGTCTAATGAGTATGTGTTACAATTATATATTCACATAGCATTATATCAGCACTTGAACCTGCAACTGAACACACCGATCCATAGGTCATTTTAATAGACATTTCTTTTTAAAATCAGTACATTTAATACCAAATACAAAAGTTAACATAAATTAAACTTTCCAAAACCATCTCTACATGGTGATTAAGTAAAAGAGTAGAAGCAAGGGGCAGGTTAACAAAAAAAAAACTACAATCTTTATTCAACAGTTTGAAGCACACTTCAAAATTATCAATGCATAACACTCATAAGTATATAAGCAGTTGCTATTAAGTGTATAATTTAAGAATAAACAGGTCATAAAATGGGTAATTTAAAGTTAAAACTGACCTAAAGAAATTGAGACCAGAGAACATACCTTTCCACCAAAATTGGACTGTCCTTTTCGTGTGTTTCTGTCGAGACACCATCATGAGCCCTGAGAGCACACTCCCAGCTCCACAAAGCTGAGCCTCCTCCTCTCATCTCTGTCTGTGGCCACACCTGCCATTTCTCCTCTCTATATACTGCCCACCCCTTTGTATCTTTGGATTCCCACAAGTATTACTTCATTCAAAGCTTTCAGTCATTCAAATCTAAATAATTACAAGGACTTTCTAAATGATCTCTTGCCCTATCATTTTTATTCTTATAATCCACTCATATACAAGTGAAATATTAATCTGAAAATATTTTACTCATCTCTCCCCAACTCAAATAAAAAACTACCTTCTATCATTCCTGTGTTTACAGAATAATCTCACACATCTGTTGTTTAACTTTTTTTAATAAGGCCCCTAACTATCTCCCCAACTATCACAAGATTATCACTGTTCAACATCTAACATGGAAACAGATATTTGAAAAACTAATTAAAATAGAGTACAATAAAAATACATATTTATTAATACAGGAAGCCCTCTAAACTGTATTAAGAGTGAAAAGTCATTTCAGAAATATGTGTATGGTACAGTATGATCTATACAGCATGGTAAGTGATACTAGGGTAGCGAATCTCAGTGTGGTCAGGAGGCCCTGGCATCCCTGACACCTTTTAAGGGTATGCAAAGTCAAACTATCATTGTAACAATATAAACATGCTATCTTCCTTTTACATTTTACATTCTCTCATGGGGTTTTCAGAAGCTAAATGACATATGCTATTCCAATATGCTAATGCAAAAGCAGATATAAGAATGCAACTGTCTTCTAAGTTAAACATGGAATTTGCAAAAAATGCAAAAATTTAAGAAAAGAATACAATGCAGTAATTATAACAAGAGAACCAGGCAGAAAAGGAGCAAAAATAAGCATAATGGACACTAGAAGGATCAGAAAAAGCTTTAGGGGGAAAAAAAAGCTTCAGGTTGGAAAAAGCTGATGAGGAAGTAAGATGTGAGAGGTCAGAGATCCTTCACCTGGAAGCAGAACACAGACTAGAGCACAGTGCAGTGGACAGCATGACATGTTCAGGAAAACACACCCCATTTGTATGACTGAGTGAGTAAGTGGGAGCTAGGAGACCAGCAACAAAGAACGAATTCAAGTCATCCTGGGGGTTGTACTTGCCAAGCTAATGAGCTTAGACCTCATCCTGTGGGCTCTGGGACACTAGGACAGGTGTGAGGGAAGGGTCACAGACAGGTCATCTGAGAAATGGGTTGGTAGGACAAGTGTGAGGGAGGGGACATGGACAGGTCACCAGTCCAGGATGAGGACACTTAGGGCAAGGAAAGTGGTCAGAGGCTCCTGTAATAACTGAGTAGAAGATGATAAAGATGCCAGTGACGGCAGTAGGAAGTGAGGTGGGGTGAGAAATTCATAATTGAGCAATATTTAGGCAGTAAAAATGAAAGTTCTTGAACTCTGGCTAAATCTGGTGAACTGAGCACATGCTTTTATCTTGCCCCACAAAGTCCCAATAAAATGACAGTAAAGGAAAACAAGAAGACAAACCAACAAACATAAAGAGTATATAAGAGCTATCTGGGTAGCCGGAAAATCAAACAAAGAAAGTATTAAAATTATCATCATCAGCGTGATAAAGTTCAACCAGCTTATGAGAAGTCTCACCAACCCTTGCGGTAAGCACAACTATTTCCTCCTATTTTACAACAGATAAAATAGAGGCTCACAAAAGATCATTATTCTAAGTCTATAAAACTAATAAATATCCTTTACAATCAGTAGTTTTGGGAAAGGCTTGATTCAGTGGAGTAAAATGTGTGCCTCACATAGGTGATGTCTACACAGTTGTAATAATGTGTTTTGTTCCCTGTGAGAACAGAACCCATTAGACTGATAAGATAAGATGTAAAGACCACAAAGACACTCTTCTTGCACTCCAGCCTGGGCGACAGAGTGAGACTCCAACTCAAAACAACAACAAAAACAAAATGGCAGGCTAGATTTGGCCTGAAGAACATAGTTTGCCATTCCTTGCTATAGACCACTTAATTGTAAGTCATTTTATCCCAGTAAGAAGGATAAAACTGATTTACGTGTTGAAAGGGTGACAAGAAATGAAAGGAACACAGGCAGGAGGTTGCTATAATAACTGAGTCAAAACATGACAGGTGTCTGGACTATGGGAGTAACATCAGTGATAAAGATCAATCATAAATCTATTTTGAGATAAAAATCCATAAGCCATTTCAATGGACTACATAATGAGAGGATGGAGAGAGAAGAATGGCAGCTGCCAGATTTTGAATCTTTCTCCATCACTTCCCCAAAATAACAGAAAATTTAAAAAAGAACTTAAATAAAAGACACACATGACCTACTTTCTCATCAATATGGATAGGCAACAGCACAAATTCAAAGGATCTGTGAATAGACAAATACTCCAAATTCCAATACAGCTGCAAGTTGGTGGATGCAGAAAGTAGAACAGAACACAAGCAGTTCACAGCATCCATGACAGGGAAAGGCCTGACTGAGAACAGGACCAGAATCAGTAGACTCTGAAAAGCATCAACTCTGGGGAAGTGGCATCCCTTGACCAAAAAGCAGTGAAAAAAAAAGAAAAGAAACTAAGAGAAAAACATTTGAGGAACCTACAGAAACAAAAGGCAAAAGAGACACACAAGTCACTTCCCTCTTCCTCCATTACTAGCATCACTTATAAAAAAAGAAAACAAAACAAAACTACAAGACAACATAACTGACAGAAGAAGTTGCTCTGAAACGACACATCTAGTCTATAAAGTGAATGGAAATAGAACAAAAAGAATATATTCATTAAAATTTTTTTTAACAACATGAAAATACAAATTGAATTATTTCAGCTGATGAAACCTGCCCCTCATAATACCCCCTAAAATAAAAAACAAAAACAAAGCTGAAGAAGAAGTAATATAATCCTCACACTTGAATCAAATATTGTCAAACGAGTATTTGGGGGAAAATATATACATATGAACAATATGAACAATACATTTCTTGAATCATAAACATAAAAAAACAAGAAACTAAAAAAGAGGTGAATAAACTCAAGAGAGAAAAAGAAAAAACAAAACCATGTCAGAGATGAAAACTGAATTATAAAGTTCCAAAATGCAAATATATGCAATCAAAAATTTAATAAAGAATAATCAAGAATAGTAGAAAAAAAAACAAATGTAAATAAAATCAAGAAAGAAGAGGGTCAAATCAAAATGGCTGAAATAAAAGGCAGCCAAATAGGCCCAACAAACATATAATTAGAGTCTTAGAAGTAGAAAAGCAAAACAATGAAACAGAATAATATTTAAAACTACAGTACAAAAAAATTCTAGAAATAAAGACTTGGATCTCTTAAAAAGACCAACACGGAATGGAATGATCAATCCAAAACATGTTACAGTAAATCTATTAGATGCTTTTTTGTTGTTTTGTTTTTTTTTTTTGAGTTGGAGTCTCACTCTATCACCCAGGCTGGAGTGCCATGGCACATTCATGGCCACCCCAGCGTCAACCTGCTGGCCTCTAGCGATTCTTTTGCCTCAGTCTTCCAAGTAGCCAGAACTATAGGCACTCAGTAGCACGACTGGCTAATTTTTGATTTATTGTAGAAACGAGGTCTTGCCAAGTTGCCCAGGCAGGTCTCGAACCCATGGGTTCAGGCAATCCACTTGCCTCGGCCTCCCAAAGTGCTGGGATTACAGGTTGAGTCACCAAGCCCAGTCCCTATTAGACTTTAAAGGAAAAAAAAATCCTTAGAGCACCCAGGCAAAAAGATCAAACAATTTTCAGGGGAAAAGAATTAGACTAGTATCAGATGCTTCAGAAAAAAAATACTAAATTCCAATTCTATTCATTCCTAATAGACCAGTATACAACAGGGACCCCCCCCCCAAAAAAAACCCCAACATTTATTTATAAAAAATTGTGTATTTATTCTTTCATGTTTAAACTTCAGTCACCTTCAAAGTACTCTTCATTTGATGCAATACATCTATCAAGATGCTTTTCCCACTGCTCAAAACAGTTTTTGAACTAATCAGTTTTGATGCCTTTTAATCCTTCTGCCATTTTCTGTTTCACCTCTTCCACATTCGCTAAAATGTTTCATTTTGAGTACTGTTTTCATGCAGGGAAACAAAAAAAAAGTAGCTCATGATGAGACTGGCTGACTAGAGAGGTTGGGGCACTGAGGTCATCCCATTTTTAATCAAAAACTGCTTAACACTCAGCACAGTGTGGACAGGTGCAGTGTCATGGTGGAAGAGCAGTCTCCTGTTTGCCACAACTCAGAATGTTTCTTCTGCAAATTATGACACAATCTTCTCAAAACTTCCAGATAAAAACTTTGGTTGATTGTTTGGTCCAGAAGAACAAAAAAAGTGTACTACAAAGGGCCCACCCTCCAAAAGATAATTCCAGCTTTCTTTGGGTCCCCTCTCATACAAATATACGATAAACTATAAGCTATATAATCTTGGAAACACAGGGGGAACACCCAACCACCTGAGAGCTGT